AAAATGAAAAAGGGTGTTCTTTTGATTAAATAAAAGCAATGGTATGTTTGTGTATTGACACATGAATGACCATTACAGACAGTTAAGTCAGACATACCTGAATTAAAATCTACTGTTGCTGTGTATTTGTTAAATGGACTGGTTTAAACCAGTGATTGGAAGGAAGGAAGAAAATGAAGCTTCTTTACTCAAATGCTTGAGAAGTAAATTGTGTGCAAAGTAAATAGCTAAAGGAACAACACACCAGCCAATTGTTGTAGTGTTCTCAAAGTAGTAAACTATAGGGTACGGAAGTGAGGCTCTTTCTTCTAAGGTAGTGGTCTATATGGTTAGATTATATTTCATATGTGTTAGGTTTTGATGGAGCAGATAGTAAGTGCTAATGGGGAACAGTTTAAGAAATTTGATTTCCTAATATAGACTGATGACGTCTGTTCAGACACTCTCTTTGCATATACATGTGTGTATATAGTTCAGAACTTAAAATATCCAAACCGGGATAAATTGAAAACTTACGTTTGTTCCCCAGTCACCCACTTCCTGTCTTCAGAATCAATGTATCATTTGTACGTTCTTCTGGGGGTGACTTTTGGACTGAGTTTTAATTAAATTAGATCACTGATAAGATCAATGACTTGCTAAGCTCAGAGAAGTGGCAGCTTGTGTAATGAAATTGAAGAGTGAGACTGTCGCACTTGGGAAATTTTGATTAACTTGACAGGAAGCAGAGTGAAGGGCTTAATACCACAGGAAATTTAGATTCTTACATTAACTTTATAATTTCTACTTAAAAGCATTTCTTGAAGCTTTTATTGCTAAAGTAGTGTTTATCTTACAATTTACTTCAATAATTTCAGTAATTGGGGCTGGAGAGATGGCTCAGAGGTTAAGAGCACTGGCTGCTCTTCCAAAGGTCCTGAGTTCAATTCCCAGCAACCACATGGTGGCTCACAACCATCTGTAATGGGATCTGGTGCCCTCTTCTGGCCTGCAGCATACACACAGACAGAATATTGTATACATAATAAATAAATAAATATTTTAAAAAAAAGAAAAAATAATTTCAGTAATTATTGTATTATACATTAAAGTATGATTAAGTTGTGTTTTGCATGGAGGTCTTCACTGGGACCCAGAAGTCAGAATTGTTATGTGGTAGAATGTACTAAATAGTTTGGTGCACCTAGTTCAAAATTTAAATATTTCATTTGCTTCAACATTACCATAACAGTGATGAGATACTTAATGCCTGCTAAGATTCTCTACCAAAAGTTGAATTTTGTACAATATAAAATTAAGTTTAATTGTGTCAAACCCTATATAAACATTATCTCATTTGATCTTTACAGCAACCTGTAAGCAAGATTTTTATTCTCCTTTGTGGATTAAGGAAACATGATAAAACATAAACACTTAGGTCTGCCACTCCAAAGCCAGTTTGCTTTATTGCTTAGCAAACAATGAATGATGTGGGAAGAAAGGAAAATTACTGTAGTCACTGATGGTTATGTTGTGACTGTTTACCTGAAAGATACTTACAGATACTTAAAATCCACACATAAATTTTGAATGGCCCTTGTTGATATTTATTTGTCTGATTTCTACTTAAATCTTAAAAGTGGAGTTAGAAAAGAGGTTTTTGTTGAGTTGAGGCTCACATATGTTTCCCTTTAAGCTTTACCAACACTTTAGGTTTATTTTGAGATGTAGGGTATGCAGGTGTGTTTCTTCTCCCTGCTGTAGTTGTCCTATAAATAGAATGTCTTGCTAAAGCAAGTGGATATGTATTCTATGTGTTTGTCACTTTCTGGCATACTGTTTTCATGTGCTGGGAAATTAATGTGACAGACTAGTGTATGAAGCCAGGGAATAGATAAAGAAAAGCCATTTGTAAATACTAGTGGGCACAATTAACAATTACTTGAGAATGACAAAGAAATTGAGGCTGCTGAGGTCCCAAGGAAAGCTCTGTTAATAAGATCATTTCAGTGCTAAGTGAAACTTGATAGCACCAAGTTATAATTGATATCATTTTAAACTTTGCATTTTTGACCATATATTCTCTTTTGCAAGAAATCACATTGGAAACCAGATTCCTAACAGCTTGTTTGAAGTGAATATAAACTACTACTCTAAGTAAAGCAATTCTTAGAAGAATAAACTGTTGTTTATATTGAATTTATTGCAGTCATCTAAATGAAAATGCTGTTTTCTTGTTTGTAGACATTTTTCAAAACCACTGAATAAAATATATCCTTTTCTCCCCTTATTGTACTTTATTTCATAGATCATTCTCATATCCTGAGGTTTACTATTAACAGTAGATAATTTTTTATTTTATATTTGAGAAATACTGTGTCATTACATTGAAAAAAATGGCATTTCATAAGACTTTATTTGAAGCCATTTTGTTTAGCAGGTGAATTTGCTTCAAATTAATATAGATATTTCCAAAGTCAAAATATTGGAAGTTCTTTAAAATGTCATCCCTCTGAATAGATTTCATTTTAAATGCTCTTTATAAAGTATTTTTAATTCCAAACTAGGGACTAACTTCAAAGTTTACTCTGTTAGTTTTCTCCTTCCGACTTTGAGTCTTTCCATTAAAGTTGAAGTTCCTAAACAATATAAGGAATAGCCGTCCAGTTCTCGTGGTCCTGGGCAAACCTGATTTAGTTGATGGTGGGAGGAGCCAAATTGGGTTTTCTGTTCATTTGCCTTTTATCTTACTTGGCTGACTTGATTTTGAAGTACAGTGGGAAAAGGTAGCCTAACAAAAGTTAGAAGATGTTAGATTCCTCTTAAACTTTGTTGTTGGCAGATCTAACCTGTGCTTTTGATTGCCTTAATCAAAAGAAAAAGGTAAGAAAAAGGGTTTAAAGACTAGAAAGGAAATAGAGTAAGGAAAGCAACAAAAACTTTATATTGTTAAAAAGTCCTAGTTTTTTAACTACTTTGTACTTTTTCGGCTACTTTGGTGATTCTCTGTTACCCAGTGTCTGTGCCTTTTCTAGTTTATCAAAAGTGATATCTACTGGATAAAAATCTAAAATGCAGTATGAAAAAGGGCTATGCATCCAACACAGCTTGGCTTAATTCAGGTTTTGAAGTTATGATTCTCTTGTTTTTAGTTTGATGATTGTTGATATTTGATTGCTGTTGCAGTCAACTTTATGAATAATTTTAAGGTTTAGTTGTTGTATTTTTTTTTCATTTACTTGCATATGCATGTGTTGTGTGGATGTGTGCTGTGTGTACCAGTGTCCGTGGTGTTTGTGTGGATGTGTGCTGTGTGTGCCAGTGTCCGTGGTGTTTGTGTGGATGTGTGCTGTGTGTGCCAGTGTCCGTGGTGTTTGTGTGGATGTGTGCTGTGTGTCTGCCAGTGTCCGTGGAGGCCACGAGAGGGTATTGGATCTTCTATAGCTGGAGGTACAGGGAGTTGTGAGCTACCTGAAATCTGTGCTAGGTTCTGCAGGAGTAAGAAATGTTCTTAACTGCTGAAGCACTTACCTCTCAAGCCCCAGAAGCAGGTTTTTGTTTCCTGTCCTGTTATCCAGCAGCCTTTCTTAAGGCACCTAGTAAGGTTTCAGAAAAGCAGCTGAAGATAAATCTTTAATAACATAATAGCAATTGAGCATTGGCTGTACCCAAAAGATTTAGATATGGTTATAGTCTTCAACTATTAGACAAAGGCTAAATAAAACTATAGTATTACTTAATTATGTTTAACTATTTAATAACTGTTGTTTAAAAGAACTTAGAGCTAGAGAAGTCAGGTTTTGACTCTGGTATGTTTAGTATAGTGGTTTAAAAGCATAAAATTAGGCTACCTACTCTGACATTTGGGGAGTTACCTCTTACTCCTTTTAGGTAGGGATGTTGTAGAAATTTGAGGCAATAATGTAAAGCAGTTTGAATAGCATTGGGTATATAGTATATTTTTTACTGCTGTTCTTACTTCCTACCATGAATCAAAGATTGGGCTTGTTTGTTTTTTGTTTTTCTTGTGGCCTCAGAGAAGAAAGTTTGGTTGATTGAGTGGATGATTGATTTGATATCAGAATCTGTGGAGTTGAAGTCCTAGGCAGTTATGAGTGGGTACTAGGAACTAAACTTGGGTCCTCAGCAAGAGCAGATATACTCTCATATCAAACACTGAGCCATCTTCTTTAGCCCTGAGTTAAGGATTTTTTAAGTGATACGACAGGTACATGCTAGCCCCTAAAGTACAGGTGGATGGTGAGGAAGACATTAGAATTATGCTTAATGAGTGGAAACAGTTAGGAACCAGGTTAGTCAAAAGCTTAGCTCCTTGAGAAATCATTCCTGACACATCGGGTCAGTTGTGCATACTGGAGTTAGCCTACAGAGCTCATTAGTTAGTTCTGTGGTGCTGACCATAGGGATCGTAGGAATGAATGATACAGTTATAGGTTTTCCCCTTTAAAGGGGGCGTTATACTCATGCAAGAAATTAGAATGCTTCCATACAATCACATTGTTCCCCCCACCACTAGCCTAGAGAAACTACATACAAATAAACTTAAAAGTGGAAATGTATCAAGTCCAACCAAGAAGAACTGTTTATTATTCATCATTAACCCTTCACTTTTAACAAATCCTAGAAAGCTATAGCTTAGTGTTGTATGTGGATATGCTACTGGAGAACAACAGCTAGAACCATAAATGATCATTAAGGCATCACTACAACATGGTGTTGATAGGCTCTGGTTAATTTTATGTATATATACACACAATTGAATGCTAGTATTTAACTTTATCTGTTATTTATTCTTTTAAAATTTTGAATCTGAATTACTGTGGTTTCTGAATTTTGTGTGCTTTAAAAAGCATTGTTTTAAGCGGTCTCAATGTTTTTTTTTCCTTTTTCAAATTTAAGTGGTTACACTGTATGAGAATCTAAAATCTTCCATTTTTTGTAAGTACTGAATATACTGTACATTCTCAACTTCATTTCCATTTGATTCTTGGATCTCACAGGAATCCTTCAACTGCTTTCTACCAAGCGTTCCATTTGAACACGTTTCAGGAATCAAAGAGCCTCTGGGATAGGTATGATTACTTGATATGGAATGCATACATGCAAAAGTGTATGCATGAATTGCTTTGCATAAAACTGACTTTTGTTAAAGGGGGGAAATCACATGGAATCTAGCATGGGACAAAGCAGCAAAATAAACCAAAAAGACTATTTTCTATAGAACATAAATGTGCTTTTTAATTTTATTGCATTCTGTGCATGTTATATCTATTTTTAAGGATTATATATTCCATTGTCTTGAAATAGTCGCTTCATATATTTTAAGGCAAAACATTTTTCTGTTAAATAAGTCTTATTTTTGTGCTGTTTTGTAGGATTTATAACAAAACAAAATACCATTCAAAAATTAAACTGGAAGAGGGACAAGACCTGAGTAACAAAATTATCATTAATTTTGACAAGAAATTGTCACCACATTTGCTTGCTAGAATTTTGTATATCTATAAAACAATTTGTAAGACCCCCCCCCCAAACAGGTTGCTTTTTCACAGAGATACTGTTTAGGTCTTATTTTTCACTTAAAACAAAACAAAAAAACTCTTTGATTTCACTTTTGGCAAAAGATACTTTGGTTTATCTTTCTGCTTAACACACATTTTTAAATAGTATATGCTTTGTTCAGTTATTTGGCTGAATATTTATTAGCAATCCATCATTCTGTATTTAATTAATAGGAGTTGAGCACAGTGTTTCTTAAATTCCCACAAAGCTTGTTAGATTCTTTTAACTCTGCCTGGCAACGCATTTGTGTCATCTGGCATACTTTTGGATAACACTAATAGACTCCACTCTACCTCTTTCATTAGAAAAGATTGTTGCTAAGTGCCTGTACATGTCATATTAAGACATGGTCTGCATTGCGTTAATAGTAAATAGTAAAGCTTTCTTTTAATTTTTGGCTTGATTTGTTTGTGTGTATAACTCAAAAGATATTTTCTAATACTTTATATCTTTTAGATGTTTTGTTTCTTACTTAACCAAAAATTATTTTAGATAGTTTATGAACAGGAAGTTTTAAAATTTGTAATGCTGTGTATATAATCAAGTTGAAATTAGTTTTGTTCTAACAGTATAAAGTATTATAGAGAAATACATAACTAGATTATAGTATGAAACAAAGTTTTAATCATGTAAATAGTACTTGAGGTATGCCTTATACTTTTCCTCAATACAAAGGAAATATAGTACTCTATTTGAATATGATAAGTAGCTTTAAATGCAGTTTAATTATTTGTAATATCTAGCTTTCATAAGCTATCATGTCAGTATAAATGATATATTATTTTCATTAATATGTTGTGGAAAGTTTAATCTTTATTTTCTATAATTTTGGTCTAATATTAAAGTGGTTTCATTGTAGGACAACCATAGAAGTTACTTGGTCACAATTTGCTGTTACAGCTAAATACTTGTTCTTTTTAGTAGATACCAAATACTTTTAGCATCTCAGAAATGAGGCAAATTCTGTATCTGTTAGTTTTTCATAGGTTAAAAATATATTTCTGGACTGGGAAAAAGACACTAGACCTGAATTTAGATCCCTATCACCCATATAAAAGAGAGAAAACAATGTAGGTGTCGCAGTCCAGACACTAGAAGGTGACAACAGGACAATTCCAGAATTTCACTGGCCTGCTGGTCTACCCAGTCTAGCCAGTCAACAAGGTCCAGAATCATTAGGAGGCCTTGCCTTATTATTAAGATGGGGGAAGTGATAGACACACACACAAATGAGGAGTGGTGGGCTTTATTAGTTCTAACAGAACAGTTTATACAGCTTTATTTGGCAAATACAGACTTGTTAACTGACACTGAGAAAGCACTGTGGTTCTGTTTATTCCTAACAGAATAATACTGCTTTTAAAATGTTAATTATAACTTTTGGCTTTGTTTTGGATCTCACCAAATAGCCTTATTTTGGACTATTGTAAATTTGGGGGTTTGTGATATGTTTTTGTGTTGTTGTTTTGTTTGTTTTTTGTTAACAATTGATTTGCCAAATAAGTATTTTACAAAGATAATTCTCTTGTTAAATAGAACTATTCAAGAATTTAGGACAGTGGTCCTCAACCTTCCTAATGCTGCAACCCTTTAATATAGTTCCTCATGTTGTAGTGACCCCCCAACCATAAGATTTTTTCATTGATCCTTCACAACTATAACTTTGCTACTGTTATGAATCAGAATGTAAATATCTGACATGCAGCCCCAAAGAGGTTGCCACCCACAGGTTGAGAACCGTTGGTTTAGGAAGCCATAACTCCTGCTCCTGTATATGATTTGTGTTATCTACATATATTGAAGCATAAATTTGCCCATCAGTGGGGTAGACTTTTTAAGGCTTATTTTTATTGGGAGTGGGGAGTGAGGGGTATGCTACTATGGAGGCCAGAAAAGGGCATCAAATCTGGAGCTGGAGTAACAGCTGGTTGTGAGCCATCCAGTTCCCTGGGTGCTAGGAACCAAACGGGTCTCTGGAATAGCTGAAGTGCTTTTAACCATTGAGGCATTGCTCTGTTCCTGGGGATAGCTTTTAAACTAGCTTTCATTAATCATGTTTGACTGTCTGAATGTCCATGCTTGTACCCAATTTTAAGGACTGAAACCTTTTTCTCCTTCCAATATACTTTCAATTTATCAAGTATCTTTATATTCAAATTATAAATTACTAATATGCTATTCCTCATTAACTTACCAGTTCTCCTTTATTAACTTACCAGTTTGTCCTATATTTAAGTTAGAATTAGTAATTTGAGAGGTTTTTCAATAGCCAGATTGCCTTTGTCTATATTCAGATAATCTTTTCTCAGCTCTCGAGGGTTTTCATCACTATGTACTGAAATTGAAGCTACTCAAGTCTTTTAGGTACCATCATAGTTTTTGTGTTCCTTTCCTCATTTGTCAGTTGCAGAGTCCTCAGGAAAGTCCGTGGAAGTGATGAGAAATATGAGGAGAGTGATACTGATAGCTCAAAGATAATCAGCCCCATATATATCTTAAATGATTAATTCTCTAAGAGCTTATATTATTGTGAAGTCATTTTTTGTGATATTCTCACATACTAGCTATCATTTTCGTGATGCTAAATTTCAACTACCTTTTAAAAATTGTGTTCATTCTTGGTCTTCTTAAATCTACAGAATTAGTTTAGAAATCTGTCTCAATAATCACTGGGAATCAAGCATCATTAAGAGTTTTTGTCTACGAAAGCTTAATGTAAGAATTACAACAGACAGTTTACTTAAATGTCTGTCAGTAAGACACGGAAGTGCTAGAGAAGACTAAAGAGAGGAAACCAGACTGCTTTTAAGAATTTGCCTTATGTATCAACACTTGGAGTGTTTTGTCTTCATGAAGAAATTGGTTAAATTTAGTCAGGAAGTGCTAAACAATTACAAGGGATATATGATTTATTTCCTTGGCGTTAGCTTGTTCTTATGGTAGCAAAAATATTTAAATGTAAATTAATAAGGAAAGTGGTCAGATGCCATTATTTGACACAAATTTATTGATTCCTATAATATCAGGAAAATCAAGATTGTAAAATTCAAAACCTACTTCTAATGAGCTTGGTCTTTGGGAAAAGATAAAGAGAATCATTATCACATAATTGAAAACGATGGCCCTTTATAATATCCAGGCACTTTCCACTTTACAAGGAAAGTTGGAGTGAGGTAGCTTTCTTAGTTGTGAGTAGAAATTGGTATTTTAGAACTAGAAAACTGAGGTAAAGAAGCAATCTAGTTAGAGGAATGGTCCTATGGACCACTGAGAATATGTAGGGCTTACATACATGTGTGGAAATATATACATACACACATACATGTAAAAAACAATAGTTGGATTTGATTATTTGTATAATATAATAACAGAGAAGAAAAACTCGATTGAACAAAGAAAAGTATGATTTTTTTTTTTTCGGTTTTTCGAGACAGGGTTTCTCTCTGGCTTTGGAGCCTGTCCTGGAACTCGCTCTGTAGACCAGGCTGGTCTCGAACTCACAGAGATCCGCCTGCCTCTGCCTCCCGAGTGCTGGGATTAAAGGCGTGCGCCACCATCGCCCGGCAGTATGATTTTAAAAAAAAAAAAAAGATTTTACAGCTTGTGGATTATAAGGAAGCACTCAAACAACTCCACAGAGTGTTCAAAACCCAGTTGACTGAGGGAACGCACATATTGTAGGATGCATTAGTAAAAGAATTAGTTTGAATAGATATATAGATGAGATTTATGGTTTTAGCTGTTTTATGAATTAGTTGACAAACTGGTAGAAATATCCAGATATGCAACTGGGCAGAGAAGTAAGATAAATTTAAAAAAAAAAAAAAACTTTGTTCCTTTATTGGAGTAAGATTCCTGACATAAACAGTGATGCATTTACTAAACAGAGTCCTGTGCAGAATTATACACTATCCATCTAGACAGATTTTGGTTACACTTTGCCTGTTGATGGAGTAGTTCCATTTATAAAGTTTTATACATCAAAAAGCTTTGAATTTGGCCAGGCTGTCCATTAATCATCTCTGAAAAGTGGTGTTTTATTTTAGCCCAAGTATGTAGCAGAGCTCTCAGACTCTGTGAATCTGGGTGGATAAAGAACTTTTGTCTGCTCAATGCCATTGTGTTTTGGAAAGCTACCTGATACATAAGCTTTTTAATGCTGTAAAATAGATAATATTTTTTTCTCTGTTTTTAGAGTTCAAACTTTAGGAAAGGCCAGGGTTCCAAGGAAGAGAGTAGGGTAAGAGAGAGTCATTCCAGAACCGTGGCAGTACCACGTAACGTTGAGATCAGAGGAGGAGATAGTATGAGAAGGATGTTTTAGAAATGGGACCACTCTGGGAATATTGCTTCCGAACCAAAAGAGGAGAAAATATTTGCATCTGCTCTTAGACAATTGTCTGCTGCCATAGTTTTAATCATCAATCTTAGCCCCATTCTTTGGAGTACTGTTTCATTAGTTCCTAAACATTTCTTCTCTTAGTTTTTCTATAGTTCAGCAATATATGAT